CAAAAATCAAATCATTTTGTTTCTTCTTTGCCCTTGCTTATTTCCTCATTTTTTCTGTGTGTGTTATTGCTATAACATTTCTAGCATTACATCAACTATTAGTGGTATATTTAGGATATCCTTGCTTTTGCTTTGATCTTACTGGAAAGGCCTTTATTTGCATGGCGCAATGTAAGATGTACTGGGTCTGGAATCAAGAAATCTTGAATTCAGACTCAGCCTGAGATACTTTCCAGCTCTGTGATCTTGTCAGGTCACTTAACTTCTGTCTCCTTCAGTTTCCTCATCTGGTAAATGGTAATAATAATAGCACCCATTTGCCAGAGTTGTTAAGAGAATAAAGCGAGATATTTTTAAAATGCTTTAAAAATCTCAAAGCACTATTTAAATACTGACTTTTACTATTATAGTTAATCCCCATTACATGTAATGCTGACTTTTGGTTTTTTAATATGTACTTTTAAGCAGGGGTTGGCTATTCTTATATTTTTTGATGTTTTTAATAGTTTTTTTTTCTTTTTTTTGCTTCTCGATTATGTCAAGACAATTTTTAGCATTCATTTTTACAATATTATGAGTTCCAAATTTTTCTCACTCCTGATAATGGTAGGCAATTTGATATAGGTTATACATATGCTATTATGTAAAACATTTTCATGTTAGTCACAGTTGTGAAAGAAGAAATATATCAAAATGATATAAAAAAAACATGAAAAAGAACAAATTAAGTGAAAAAAGTACACTTCAGTCTGTACTCAGAGTCCGTCACTTTTTTGTGATTGTTGTGTGGTTTGTCCTTTATTCTTGAAGAGGACCATGACATCAGGGAGATGATGACATGACTTGCAGTTGAATTGGATTTGAGTAAAGGAAGGCTGTGCAAAGTTACCAGCCTCACTTTCTCCTCCAGCGTCATCTGAGTCCAGTGACCAGATACAGATCAGGATGACTTTATCTGAATATGGATAGTATTTTCCTTGTGAGTCCTTTGTGCTGCTGAGATGAGCCAAGTCATTCATAGTTGATCATCAGACAATGTTGCTGATACTGTGTACTATGTTTTCCTGGTTCTCCTCATTTGACTTTGCATCAGTTCATACGAGTCTTTCCAGGTTTTTCTGAAATCTGTCGGTTCATCATTTCTTATTGCACAATGATATTGCATTACATTCATCTACCACATCTTGTTCAAATATTCCCCAACTGACAGGCATCATTTTTCAATTTCCAACATTTTACCACCA